AAGAAACGTCTGACCTCTGTGATTGCCAACAAAGGTTTTGCCACCAAGTACTAAAGCACGTTTTGCAAAGGGATCAAATACTTATTTCATTCATGAAAATGCAAATTACTAAGAAATTTTCTCTAACTGGACCTCTTTAAATTTTAGCTGAATACCCCTGTTCTAGAGGGTGGAGTTCCATGAATGCATCATTTCCTCTGCGGTTTTTCGATCTGACACTGACAGCCCCAACTGTTCTGAGACCAGTGTCTACAATCAACAGAGAGACAAAGTCACAGATATCAAGTGATATTATTAAAAACAAAAAAAAACAAAAAAAAGTACAACCCTCTTACCTCACTGACTTGTCTTTCTCAATCTCATGTCCATATTCACAGGACCTAGGCTGATTTACCTGAGCTATGAACATAATCTATTCTGTAAGAATTTAAATCAATCTAAGAATTTAAATAATGTGAGCTGCAGACAAGCCTTCTTATAAACTATTTCATCAGTGACTACAAGTGCTACTGACATGCAGCTGCTGGCCACATAATGCCCTCTAACTGACTGAGTTCATACAACAGAAAACTACTTGTTAAGATAAAGACAAACAAAGCCAACATGAAAGAACTAGCACCAATGAAGGCCGACTGCTGTGTTGCCTCACGTTGGTTTTGTCTGGGTCAGTCCGGTTGAAATGTGACAGTTGAACACACCGTACAAACTACAGCCAACAGCCAACTAGCACAAGTAGCTACAAGTGTAAACAAAGTAGCTCTCATTCTCCACAGCCATTTATAGCTGATTCTAATTGAGAATATGTCTGATAAGACGCTGTAATTGACACTGCCATTCTCTGTCCTTGGTCTTTTGGTTGTGAAAGAAGAAAGGAGGTTGTGGACATGAAAAACAAGAACAAACTACACTAAATGCGTGAACTCATACTACAGCAACAGGCTGAAGAGACTTTCCCGAACCTCTCTCCTTATGCACTGATTCGCTAAGCTCAACAGCTAATCAGAGTGGTCTTTATCACCGATGAGGTCTGACACTGATTCAACATGTCCAATCAGCCGAAAAGCCACCAACATGGTCCAACTACAGTGGAACCTTGGATTGCAAGTAACCTGGTTTTACAGTTGCTCTTGGCGGCCTGTTTTAATTTTAGTTTTAGTCTAGTCTTTGTGTGAAACTGTTGTTTTAGTTTTTATTAGTTTTAGTCATGTTCATACTCTCTTTAGTCTAGTCAAGTTTCAGTCAACTGAAGTCTGAGCATTTTAGTCTTATTTTATTTTAATCAGAATTATCCATGACTATTTTCAGTTTTAGTCGATGAAAACTGATGACATTTAGTCTAGTTTTAGGCAATGAAAATTGTATTTGTCTCTTTTTAGTAATACAATTCTATTTAACCAAGTCAATAGTATAAGTACCTAGTAGTATAGACGAAACCAAAATTTTCTTTTAGCCAAACCCATTTCAAACAAGGTTCTTATATTATTGTTACCTTATAGATTCAAGAATATATCCAATACACATTTTGTGTGATTTTGTGGCCGCATTTCTCCCCATCTTTTTCCACAACACATTCCGTTTTCTTTTCCACTTCTGTGTAATGAAAGTTCTTCTTTTTCTCCCAAAGACAAACCCCAGCTGGCCGGCCATTGGTCCCTTTCTCTGTGTCAGACTTAACTTTGTTTGTTGTCGTCTTCTAAATAATACCGTGAGTGGGTCTTAAGGAAGTGACATCGCCTGCGCCTGTACAGTGCCCCTGAAGTGAGACACAGGAAACAGAAATACTGCATTTAGCATAGTTTTTATTTTGTAAACCACATTTAGTCTCATTTTTTTCGTCAACAATATTGCATTATACATTTAATTATAGTCATTGTCACATGACTAGCATTTACGCTGCATCTTGTCTTGTTTTCGTCATGTGATATAAAGTTTCGTTGAGAAAGATATTTAGTCATAATTTTCATTGACTAAAGCAACATTACCCGGTTTGCGAGTGTTTTGCAAGACAAGCAAAAAATTTTGAATCGATATATGAGTGAGGTCTTGCAATACGATAGGTACGTACTCTTTGTCTGCTGAGCGTCACATGACGAACATCACAACTGAGCCGATGGTTCTCGCGCTTCACTCGTATAGTCAATATCTGTACTGCAACAATGCCACTCACGCCAGCCACAATTCTTTTCAAAGGTAGAGTGCAGATTAATTTGTTTTATTTTTACTTTATACTGTATTTTGTATTACTGCCGTCCCTGGTAGGCTAGTGGTTACGGTGCAGCACCCTTTCCGCTGCGACCTGGGTTCAAATCAGGATTGCATCAGGAAGGGCATCCGGCATAAAACACGTGCCAAATGTCAACATGCGAGTCGTCAGTGTGACGATTCACTGTGGCAACCCCTAAACGGGAAAAAAACGAAAGTGACTTTCTTGCTGTATTTTGTATTACTGTAATCATTTTTATATGGATAAGTGGGTGTGGAATGAATCATCTGAGTTTCCATCATGTCTTATGGGGAAATCTGCTTTGATGTACAAGTGCTTTGGATTACAAGCACGTGGCTGGAACGAATTATACTCGCAATCCAAGGTTCAACTGTAGTTCCAACCGTGCAGGACACAGCAGGAAGACAAGCCCTGAGAGACCCTTACCAATGGCCTGAAGGTGGCCGGCCAGCAGCTTGGTGTGTCACCACCCTTACTTGTCTGAGCTGCTTGTGACTGGGTGTTTTACGTGTTAAATGTTTATGCTGCCTTCAGCAGGGTCATATTACTGTAATATCCTTTTAGTAAATGTAATTCATGGGAGGACGAATAAAAAAAAAAACAAATCAGTCTATGCCACTAACACCTTGATTACATACTGTATATTGTGTATATACAATATCAAACCAACCACTGAGTGATGTTGACAAACTCAATGTCATATTTTAAAATAAATATCTGAACATCAACATCTAAAGATGTGTAATACCTTCAGAGGCCACTCTACAACATATCACCGTTTCTCTCCACTATACTAAAATGAAGCCCAATTATCATGAATGCAATGACTGCCATCTTGGAAATTTTGCAACCAGATTCTACACAGTAGTGAGAGTAGCTGAGTGACACATCAGACCGTCAATCAAAGCTGTCAAATCATCCAAAACATTACTTATTATAAATACACTTACCAGGAAAATTACCACTTGTACAAATATCGGTGTGATAATATCTAGAAAATGTGACAAAAAACATCTCTGGGAAAATTTTATTTGATTTGTACCTTGAGTTTTTAGTTTGGCTAGTATCCCATCTACTAGCACGGAGGGGGCTGAGTTTATGACTTATACTACAACTAGCCTCTAGGGGGAGATCAGCTCACAGTGGCTTCACTTCTGGGAGCTGTAATGTGGTCCATTTTTTTATCAGTGCTATATAATGCAGTACATATGCTGTACATATGTACTGCATTATTTCTTTTCAGTTTAATATGCATGCTGAAAAGCTGTTTTACTAAATTGGGTTAATTCATTAACTTTTTTAAAAACAATTTTGAATGCAATATTTAACCTTCCATTGTTTAAATAAGAACAACAATAAACACTAAAAAACACACACATGGAAGTGTCTGCTCTGCGAGTTACTGTATACAGTCATTCTGTCCAAGAGTCTGCTGCCCCCTCTGGGCTCCACTGCAGCTGTGTGTGCAGTGTTACATTACAGTGACACTGCACCTCCACCTCCGGTCTCAACACTTACCATTACATGGCAGTTTATAGGCCCAGGAGAGTACACAGGAAGCACACTCCCACAGAGTAGGGTGTTTTAAGATGAGAAGAGGCCTTAAATGGAGCAGCAGATGGAGGGCGGCAGTGATATGCTAAGAGATGCAGGTGAAACACAAGGTGTGTACTCACTTACTGGTGCTTACAGGGAACCATTGCACACCTGGCCTATTAGCACATACACTCACACCCACTTCCCATAAGAACACATAGAAATAACTGCTCCTAAGCCAAGACTGCTTAAAGTAAATGATAAAATAATAGGTTACACCCAATACCCAGAAGTCAACAAGCAGAAATGTGTCTGATGACATTTAAAAACATCTCCCATGTAGAGCACAACCAGGAAACATGTGGTAACACTTTCTGTTGCAGAAGGTTTGTCTTCTTCCTGTGTGCTGTTATGCTCATCATGCTGACATATTTCTGCTCTTACAGCTTTTTGCAGTGTTTTGAGAATAATGTTGCTTCAGTGTATTTTTCTGCACAGGCTTTAGTGTTCATTTACACCTTACTCTCAGTTTCAAGTCAACAGGTGAATCTGCATCAGACTTGTAAATGTGCAGTTTAACTCACAGGTATCTTGTTGGGGTGCTGCTCTCGGATTAGTCTGACATCTTCTACTCTCTGTTCTGTGGGGCAGAAACAAGATGACAAGGTTACTGGAAAACATACTGCCAGACGCAGAGATGAGCATGTCACAAACAGCAGCTGATAAAACAGGAATGAGGTCAAAGACAAAGTAAAAGCAAAACCAAACTTGTGAAGAAAGGAGTCAACTGAAAACTCTAGTCAACGCATAAACAGTCAGGCTTTACAAGAATGCCCTAGTCACCCGTATTTATTTATCTACAGTATGTAGCTCAACCCTTTCTGATGGTTAATGTATTTGGTGGTGGTCATGTGAGGAGCTGTAGAAAAAAAAAAAACTGTTATAACGTCTGGTTCAACAAGTTTCCTAAAGTGACTGTGAGACCCAAACAAAGGAACAGGGCAACAGTATTCAATCTTCCACTGTTTATCTGATCTACTTGTATATTTATAGTGGGGATTTAATATGTTAAGAAGAATATAAATATCTGAGAACCGTGTATTTAACAGTGGACTAAGGCTCTCTAGTGCAAACATAATGAGCTTTCCCAAAATCTACTCATACTGTAACTCAGGTCAGGTAGTCCAGTGCATGTCCAGGTGTAGGCAAGGTGACCATGTACGTGCATGTTGGAAATGAAACTAAAATAAGCAATGTGCATACTGGAAATCTGATACATACAATGTTGATGACAGTGCTAAGTGGAAGCATGTTCAAACATGCCTGGATGTTTTCTAAGTTTCACTGGGTTTTCCCTCCGCAGTGATAACTCAAGAGGTCAGGTATTGATGGGATGGTTCACTGTTCGTCAGTAGTGCTGGGTATTTAACTTCAACACTTTTATGGCATTAATTGAATTACTTTAATACCATTGAGTAGGGCTGCATGACAAATCATTTTGTGAGCGTGATTTAGACGCATGTGATCTCAATCTCACATGACAGTGATCCTTCCATGTTTGCATAAGGGAGATGGTTTGATTCAAGCCAAGCGCTCCCTTTTTCTTGATAAACGAATAGCAGGAATATGTTACATCATGTGATGAGCTGTAGACAGGAAGAGACTGATTCAGAAACAAATCCAACATGTTTGACATGGTGAAAGATATTCTGTGCCATCCTGCAACTATTTTTCAAAAGTTGTGCTGCCTGCTCTATACACCCAGTGCCAAATAGCAGTTGAAGCAGAAATAAATCACTTTGTGGTCATTAGTCACAGTTATTGGTTAACAAAGCTGAGCGAAGAAAAGGGAGTGCTTTCTTTGATGTAAGGGATCTCACTGCTAATGCTAACATGGCACAGTCATTGTCATGTGAGACTGAGATCGCACAGGGATCTAAATCACGCTCACAAAACGATTTATTGTGCAGCCCTACCAGAGTATCGAAAAATGTTGAGTTTCAAAAAATACTTTTTCTACATTTTTATTGATTTGAATGTTGCCTAAGGTCGTGGCAAATAGGCTTACTTCTTATTTTATGAAACTGGTTGGAGTGCTCAAAAATGCCAAGGAATTGAAAAATAAAACTATTGATCTGTACCAAAAGGTGTGTGCATATAATAAAATTGATTTTATAAAACTGGTATTGGAAAAAAATGATTGTTTAGGAACTGGTATTGAAGCCAAGGTATTGCTAAATTTTGGAATGATACCCAGCCTTATTCATCAGTGACCTAAAGCAAAGCTTTCTAAGCTTCAACCCCATTTTACATGGCCTGTAACTGGAGCAGGTGACACCTTGGTCTTACTGCACTTTGAACTGTCAACATCAACACTGTCTCATGGTCAAAAAGGGATCAGTCAACAAGCTTGAATGATGCTTTTGGATTCTGTATAAGAATGAAACCTTTGGTAGAAATAGTGAAAATCAAACTAAGTGTTGATTTTGTAGAGTCGACCAACCACAGGCAGTACTGTGCACTGGCCCCCGTCTGCTGTACACTGGCCACCATCAGCTGGAGTAGTTTTGACTTACTGGTATCCACTCTTGTGACAAGCCACTATAAAATGTTTGCTAAGAGGGAGCTCTGTGTGCTCCCTTTGAGGGAGATTTAATTCATTCAATGCCTCCATGGGACAAATGTTGTCCTTCCTTAAGGGTGCCATTTTCATGCTGCACTTGTGGAAATGCAGGACACTGTTCTGCGATTACATTCAATTAGGATGAGTTCACCACCCACAGACAGAGAAGCTCTGTATGTGTCAGTGTGTCTTGTCTGTTTCTTATGTCCAATGGTGCATTTCCACTTTTGGCACCTAACAAGCGCGATACCCCATACTTCCATTAACTATCACCAAGCACAGCCTCCAGGGTTGACATGGACCATCCTGCTTTCTTGTTTAACATTATATTTTCTCTCTAGCCCCTTACATATTGCCTTTTTGAGGGGAGCTTGGTGCATCTTTATTCCATCTCGTTTTATGTGTGTAAGGCATGAAGCCAGAATGGCGGACCATTTTCTTTCCGCTGTTAGGTATTTTTAGTCAGATAGATATTGGATAGATACTTTATGTATTAGAAATGTTTAATGGAGATAGGATGTCTAGTTAGACTGTTAAATACTTAGTCATGCTTATGAGTTTACTTGGACTGTCTCGTCTCTCAGAGTTAGCAATGGTAAAAAGAGCCATAGTCCTACACCGCCTCTGGTCCGCCATGAGAGGTAGTACCAGAGATGAAACAAAGGGGAGCTAAGCACTGTGTAGAAAGGGTGAGCTAGCAGTCCGGGACCAAGTGCTATGTTGTAATGATGTAATATATGCGCATCTTACAGGTCAAAACATTCCTGATGTCACAAACATGATGATTGTAGTTATTACTCATGACATTTCACACACATAGCAAGAACCAAGCTAACCAATTTTGCGTGAAGTGAAAAAATTCTTGAAGAGCCAACAAAGCTACATCTGCACTTATCTCTCCCGCCATTGTTGTTTTGGTTTGTAGACTACTGGTGCAAAATTTACATCACAGCTGACGCAGAGCAACATGTCTCACCTCTGGTGTGGAATGCCGGCCTACTGTCTGAATTCACAGGCTGGCTCATGATTATACCGCCCTTAGCTTGATCTGTATGAACAGCACATGGGTGGGATATTGGCGACCCTTTACAATGGCGGTAGTGTTGGATCTCAGTGTAAAAATGACTTATGTCTGTGTCTGTTCGGGAGAGGGAGGGGCAGCTCCCCTCTCTCACATGCAGTCAGCTGTGTGTTTACACACAGCACCTTACAGCTGCCTGCTTGTAAGCTAATGCTTGAGTTGTGAAGACACGGACATTTAACCAATCACTGGCGACTGCTTTGCGTGCATGCACCCCCTCCCCGTACACATTCCTGATAAATGATTTGACTAATACCTCCTGAGGGGTGCTGAAACTTTGCTCCCAGAACGCACCTCCAAAAAGGGCACAGAGTGTAGTGGACACAGAGTCAAAACGCATGACAAGTGGTATTAGGCGTGACATCATACAGTTCTATAAAGGAAAAGGCCCTTATGTGACACCCAGCCTTTGAGTCATCAGCTTTCAATACAAACAAAGTTATCACAATGGGAAGCAGCTGACTTAAAATCCTGTGGGTTTTTTCCACACATTTCTGTTCTGTCATAATATGAGTCAGTAGCAGCTGGCACATCTGGAAGATTCTCTTTGGTTTCCTGAGTCATCTTATGACCTGCTCTAGAGAAATGCTACAGTTTCACAGCCTAGTGACAATGTAACGAACACTGTGAAATGTTAAATGTGTATTTACTTAAACATGTACGCCCAGATCATCACATGTAGACAAGGCACTGACAGGCAAAGAAAATAAAAACTTAGGTAAATAATGCCTACCAGCTGGTGGACACTATCACAATGTAAACAACCACTGACACAGACTAATTATTCCGAAAACGGGCAAGATATACAGATGGCTGCCAAATTAAATTAAGGACTAACATAAATTAAATAACATAGTGTTTTCAGTAAAGTGTCTCCAAAACATATTCCATCATTGTGTTCAACACAGTTTCATACCCATTAAGCCATCCAGTACCCTGGAGCTGCAAACATTAGACAATTAACTGTCAGAAAATTAACTGAAGCAAAAATCACTGGCATTTCATGGTTTCATCTTCTTAAATGTGAGGAACTGGTGCTTTTGTTTGCTGTACATAATAATAAACTGAACATCTTTGGATGTATTGGTTGGACAAAGGACATTTGAAGACACCACCTTTGACTCTGGAAAGTCAAAACAGACATTTGTGCAATTTTTGACATCATGTAAATAAAAAAGATAAATCAAATAATGAAGAAAATACCTATATTCTTTATTTCACCTCATTTTTAGGATTATTTCATTTGTCACATCTGTATTTTACCCGATTGCCTTAACCAACAGTTGTTAGTAAACAGTTAAAAAGACATTTATATCTATGTTCCTTTTGACTGACCCTCGCGTTCGCTGGTTGTGTAACGTGGTGTTAAACCAGAAGTCGGTTACTGAGAAATATATTTCCAGGGCTGAAGGCATCACGTTCCCATCTTTGTTCAAGATATATGACACTTTAGGGGAGGACAACTACTAAAGACCAACTTATCAACCTATGACAACTTACGAGTTTCATCTTCTCGTTGCTTGCTTATAGATTTTTATATTGTCTTATTTACGAACTGACTGAAAGCATGACAAATAATATGTATGGTGTTTGCGTGGATAATGTTTTTGCAAAGCACTGCAGGCCCCGTCTTTGGATTTGTGCGCTGACAAAGCCTAAACTGAAACCATACTGAGCATCGACGCCGTGGCCTACCTTTCACATGCAAAGAAACAAATGTAAAGTCCGCAGTTTCTTTTAAACTCCACTTTTCTCCCCAACTAACTGTCCCATCCCCCAATCTTGCAGCTCTCTTTTTCTCTGCCCTGCATTTCGACACCACTTTTTTCCTCCCAGCGATCTGATACAAGCAAACGCACTCAGGCAGAGCCTGAAGCAACGCTCCTATTTTATAACAGGCCTATATCAGGTTAACATACAGAAGGAACGAGTGGGTACAATCTGTATTTTATCTTCATGAAAATAAGTTGACCAACCCGCCGCATACGGTCGACCCTTTTAGCTGTATTATCAGCTGCACAGAGAAGAGCCTGCTAAGTAACATTACACAATTTAAGTAACGCTACACATCATGTAGCCTGAATTAGCTACACAAAATGAAGGCTAATACTCATCCCTGGGATTTTATCCAACCATTACCTGGCCTGTCCACATTCACGTTGTAATTCACTTTATCATAATTCACAGAACAAATCGCGTTATAGCTACAAATATACAACATTTAATAAAGGACGTGTTAAAACAAGCTGTGGACACCTACCGAAGGTCCTTCTTTGTTTGAATGTTTTTTCTGAAGGCATACTGCGTCAACCAAGTGGCAATGGGAGAAAAGTGGGATATAAAAGCTAAACACGAATTACAAACAGGCTACCTATAACGTCTCGGTAAAGCAGTTCAGACCTGCCGTACCGTCGTCGCTTCCTTCTACTTGTGTTTTCAACAGGACGAGCTCGAGCCAGGAAAACAAACCTGTCAGCTGACCTCTGACGTCAGCCCCCCCATCTCTATCAATAAGGCAAAACACTTCATTAATCATATATCTGTTTATGCATCCAACTGCATGAACTTTGGCGTTCCTTTGAATTTCTGTCTTGCTGTAAACCACTGTTTTCTCTTAACAACAAAAGACATGTATTGCATCAGCGTTTGAAGAATAGGCCGAGATATCTTCTTCTTTCAGCTGTTCCCGTTAGGGGTCGCCACAGCGAATCATCTGTTTCCACCTAACTCTATCCTCAGCATCCTCTACTCTCACCCCAATTAACTTCATGTCCTCTTTTAGCACATCCATATATCTCCTCTTTGGCCTTCCTCTTGACCTCTTGCCTGGCAGCTCCATCTCCAACATCCTTCTACCAATATAACCACTATCCCTCCTCTGCACATGTCCAAACCATCTCAATCTGGCCTCTCTGACCTTGTCCCC